GAACCCATACTCCCAGAAGCAACGCAACTGGTAACTACAGGGCGCCTTAATCCGCTTGACCATGCTATGCCCAAGATTACCATCCGAGTTGCCGTCGGGGAAGTGGCTCAAATAGCCTCGGCTATCACTTCCTTTTGACGGCCGTGATGGTCAAGCGGATTAAGGCGCCCTGTAGTTACCAGTTGCGTTGCTTCTGGGAGTATGGGTTCGAGTCACTTCTGGGGTGTGAGTTTTCATTCGCATATAGTCCTGGGGACCATTCAGGCTTGTTCGCATTTGTGTTCCTCACGTGTGCCCCAAAGAATGAGGTGATTTGGTGAAATGCTATGCCCAAGATTACCATCCGAGTTGCCGTCGGGGAAGTGGCTCAAATAGCCTCGGCTATCACTTCCTTTTGACGGCCGTGATGGTCAAGCGGATTAAGGCGCCCTGTAGTTACCAGTTGCGTTGCTTCTGGGAGTATGGGTTCGAGTCACTTCTGGGGTGTGAGTTTTCATTCGCATATAGTCCTGGGGACCATTCAGGCTTGTTCGCATATATATATATATATATATATATATATATATATATATATATATATATATATATATATATATATATATATATATATATATATATATATATATATATTATTATTAAATATGACCGAAAAAGTAAGATTAATAATTCTAACACGAATTTTCTCGATCTATCTTATGTTTCTTTTCACTGTTGATGGTAAATGAAAAATCAATTCTCCAAAATTCATTTTTATTTCTAGTCTGACGCGACACTTGGGCGCGTTTCGTAAAACTTATTACATTTTCAAAGACTTTAGTTTACACACACACACAACTATAACTGAATAGAGCTTAAACATCTTCGATTTCTTATACCTGCATTTGGGTGAGGTGATATGTTACAATAGTGTTGGATGAGGTGAAAACAAACTTTCAACACAAGCCAGAACACGAAACAAAGGGTATTGTAGGTAAGAATGGAAGTAATTGCAGAGGGCCTATTGGCCCATATTTCTTGATGCTTCTATATTGGAGTGGAGTCTTGAAGTGGGTAGAATATAGTTGTGCATTAATTGGCTGTTGATTGCTGGTGTTGACTTCTTGATGTGTAGTGCCTCGCAGATGTCAAGCCGCCTGCTATCGCTGTATCTATCGATGATTTCTGTGTTGTTTGCTAAGATTTCTCTGGTGTTGGTTTGGTTGTGGGAAGAGATTATGTGTTCCTTAATGGAGCCCTGTTGCTTATGCATCGTTAAACGCCTGGAAAGAGATGTTGTTGTCTTGCCTATATACTGAGTTTTTATGAGGCTTACAGTCCCCAAGAGGGCATTTGAAGGAATAGACGACGTTGGTCTCTTTTTAAAGCGTTCTGGTTTGTGTCTGGAGAGTTTCTCATGAGTAGGCTGGCCGTTTTCTTGGTTTTATAGTAAATCGTCAGTTGTATCTTCTGATTTTTGTCTGTAGGGATAACGTTTGTATTAACAACATCTTTCAGGACCCTTTCCTCCGTTTTATGAGCTGTGGAAAAGAAGTTCCTTTAAAATAGTCTAATAGGGGGTACAGGTGTTGTGTTAGTTGTCTCTTCAGAGGTTGCATGGCGTTTCACTTTCCTTCTTATGATGTCTTTAACGAAACTATTGGAGAAGCTGTTGTTGACTAGGACCTGCCTTACTTTACAGAGTTCTTCGTCGACTTGCTTCCATTCTGAGCTGTGGCTGAGAGCACGGTCGACATAAGCGTTAACAACACTCCTCTTGTACCTGTCTGGGCAGGTACAGGTACAGGTACATATATAAAGAGAGAGAGTGTCTCACACAATCTACACCCTCCCTCACGTCTCACATCCATTATGGCATCTGCTCATGTAACTCACAAGTCCTGTGTAGGTACACAGACCCTGTTTGGGTACACATGTCCTGTGTGGGTACACAGCTAGGTCCTGTTTGGGTACACAGGTACTGTGTGGGTACACAGCTAGGTCCTGTGTGGGTACTCAGGTCCTGTGTGGGTACACAGGATACAGTGCGGTTGAGGGGCGGCGTGAAGCTTTGTGTATTACTCCAGCGCAAACCCATAGCGGGCATCAACCCACGTTGCCCCAGCAATAGAGGGGGGGATGAAGAAGTGAAGAGACCAGATGGGGGAGGAGGGAAGAGAGCCAGAGGCTTGGCTCTCCTCTTACTTCAACAAACAGACCAACACGGGAGGGTGACAGCAATTCCCTGAACAATAACAAGATTCTGTATTATGGTCAATAATGTGGATTTCAGAGGTGAAATTAATCTATTTCTAAGAGGTTTCAAGTATCCCAAATTTCTAAGGTAAGTTTAAGGAAAGGGAGGATGTGCCAGCGTACGAATACCACGGTACTCATGAGGGCCACGCCTCATTCATGAGTACCACGCCTCACTCATGAGTGACACGCCTCACTCATGAATGACACACACATGGCTTATATTCTCCAAAGTCAAGAATCACGAGTGTCACATCTCTCTTACGAGTGGCACTCCACAGTTACAAATCACACTCCACGGTTACGAGTGGCACTCCACAGTTACGAGTGACACTCCACGGCTACGAGTGGCACTCTACAGTTACGAGTGGCACTCCACGGTTACGAGTGGCACTCTACAGTTACGAGTGGCACTCCACGGTTACGAGTGGCACTCCACAGTTACGAGTGACACTCCACAGTTACGAGTGGCACTCCACAGTTACGAGTGGCACTCCACAGTTACGAGTGCCAGCTTCTCTGAAATAGATAAAATATGCCGAATCATATTTCAATCTCGAATCCAAAAAAATTTGCAAGTGATGTCTTAAAACGTTAAGAATTCAAACAGACGGACGCTTCCGAAATTATCAGATACTTCAACTTAGAATACGCTACAGGTAGTGGCACTGCTAAGATGAGGGTGTTGTCTTGTTCTATGGTTAAGAGCCCTATGATTGTCTGGTTCCGTATCAATACATCGTGTTCCTTCAGCATCATATATTGTATCACTGAGCAGTAACATGGCACTCTTAATCAACTATATGGTTCACTTGATTTTGGCATCTTGTTTACTGATTCCATTGAATTAAGATCCATATTTAACCCTCTCGTCAAATAATCTTCGCCCTTCAGGTCAATGATCTTTTGCCGTCCACTTACGTTCAACCATAACTACCTTTATCTCTTCTATAAGTCACTCATCCATATTCTGTGCCACCATTCATCCACACACCTTCATCATACTCCTCCTCAGGTTACTCATCTACCTACAGTTCTACCAATCACCTCATCTTCCCCTATGCGTACAAGCTACTCACCTACATATATCCTGACTCTCACTACTTAACCATTATCTCTATATACCCAACTGATGAAACAACTATGTCTATGAAATGAATTGTCAGTGTATGTGTGTGTCTGGAAGCCAGGCGCTGTGGGCTAGCCTCATCCAACTTTCCAGGATGAATCATGTTGAGTAAGGGAGTGTCATAGGCTTGTCGGTGTGGAACCACGTGAAATGCTTTAAGAATTATCAGCATTTATAGCAACCTCCCCGTGCGATTTTCATGAAGTCAAGTTTGAAATATTAGTTGTTTCCCACACAGTTGTTCAGCAGTTACAGTGCTTTGTTATAATAATGACACACAGGGTGGCTGGTGTCGACTCTCTTAGGGGCCGCACGTGGTAACATGCGAGACACGTGCAGTGAAAACCAGGTGATTGGTGCAGCTGACACTCTGGGCACCGTGGACGTGCGTAGTGCGGCGACAACCCCACGCAGGGTGATGGTGGTAAGTGTGGGCACACGGGGCATAACACACGTGGTTGGGTAGCACGGTAACGACGGAAAAACGCTTAAGTCCACAAAATAGCCGTGCATACAGTTACCTCACTCAGGTAAATTAACATCACACTGTGGAATCAATGCTTATCCACTCCAGATAACTATCGTAACTATAGGTTAACGGATGTTAGTGATAATCACTGATGGACACTGACAGTGTCGTTGCGTGTGCTGGTGTACACATGGTGAGAACACTGTTTCCTCTTTCTCGTATTATCACTCGAATATCAAAGGAATCTCCAACCGTGGGACCAGATTATGTGGCGACTCACACTAGGGAGACTTAAGTATATAACAAGACTTACAATTAACGTCGCGTTAGGCGGATTTCTTAAACTGTTGCCGCAGCGTTAAAAATAACGTCATCACAGGCAAGCGACGGGGAACAGAATGCCAGGGCGGCGTGGTGTCGGGTCTTCCTTCCACTCTTCCCCCTAGATACTTCAAAACAGCCAATCGACACTAAACCCTGAAACTTGGCCAATCAGAACCCTACCCTCCTGTGGCGTGGTGCTGTGACGTTAGGACAGAGGCCTAGACTAGAACAAAGGGAACCTTGTAACCATACCTCTTGTCTTAACCGCAGCTCTCCAATGTATACCACCAGACTCTATTTATGGATTTTTCCTACCCTGGAGTTACTTAGCTGTTCTATCTACACCATGATGTGATTGCTGAATGGAGATACCCACGACGGCCATCGTGGCACCAATGGACTCCTGTTCACACAAACTGTCAAAGGAAACCCAACATAGCATAACTGGAGTGCGTATTAACCAAACTTGACTTAGTGCAAACACACTTTTGTGCACTCTAGAGAGTCTCTAAGTGTTATGTGCACTCATCTTACACACATTTAAGATAGCTAGAGATCCATCTCTCACAAGGTCAAACAGTGCTGACAGCCACACCCTAAATGCTCCCCTTGACCACTCGCGAGATAATGTGGGTTAGACACTTCAGGGAGTCACTTAAGAGACCAGGAACCCTACTCACTTACAGCGACCAGTCCGGGAGAGTGAGGACTAGACACACGTGAGGACTAGGAGCAGTGACTGGCCAAGCATGCAACAATGTCAGTTACACACACTTATGGTGGCAACTTATAAAGTGTTGTCTGTCTATCGTAAAATAGTCAACCAGCCCAGTTTTGTCCCTCCAGGGCAGCATTTACTGGCGCTACAGTAATCAGCAGTTAGAGAAGGGCTACCCGAAGAAGATAAGCAGCGGCTTCTCCGGCATTCCCGACTCCCTGGACGCGGCCACTCCCTCCTTCGCAAATGGCGTCATCTACTTCTTCAAGGTAGGTGACCATTTGCATAACTCCTTCCTAGTCCACTTAATATATTTCCAAGGTGAGTACAAACCGCCTACACGCATTTACACAGTTGTTTCAAAATGATATATATGATTCATTACTTACATCCGAATGATCCAATGGTCCAGGCACAATGGGTCATGTCCAATGGTCCATGTCCAATGGTCCAGGTCCAATGGTGCAGGCCCAATGGTGCAGCCCCAATGGTCCAGGCCCTATGGTGCAGGCCCAATGGTGCAGGCCCAATGGTGTAGCCCTAGTGGTCTAGGTACGATGGTCCAGGTCTAGGTCCAATGTAAACCTTACATGTGAGGCAGACAGACTGTTGAGGGCGAGCTGATCTATCTCTACAGGGCTCTCAGTACTGGCGCTTCTCAACAAAGTCGAGGAGGAGGAGTGCGGTCCAGAAGAGCTTGTCCACCTGGAGGGGTCTTCCCAATAACGTAGATGCTGCTATTCTCTATAATCAAAACGCCTACTACTTCTTCAAGGTGAGTCAGGTGTCCAAAGGGGTCCATAGTGGGCAAAGGAGCGGGCAAAAGGCAGGGAAGTTGAGTAATTGACAATGTACGATAGAGCGGTGACACCGCATCCCTCTCTGTGACACCCTCACTATCTGTGACTCCCTCACTCTGACACCCTCACTATCTGTGACTCCCTCACTCTGTGACACCGTCACTATCTGTGACTCCCTCACTCTGTGACACCCTCACTATCTGTGACTCCCTCACTCTGTGACACCGTCACTATCTGTGACTCCCTCACTCTGTGACACCCTCACTATCTGTGACTCCCTCACTCTCTGTGACTCCCTCACTCTGTGACACCCTCACTATCTGTGACTCCCTCACTCTCTGTGACTCCCTCACTCTGTGACACCCTCACTATCTGTAACTCCCTCACTCTGTGACACCCTCACTGTCTGTGACTCCCTCACTCTGTGACACCCTCACTATCTGTGACTCTCACTCTGTGACACCATAACTAATTGTGACTCCCACACTCTCTGTGACATCCTCCCTCTCTGTAACATACACGCTCTGTGGCAACCAAAGTCTCTGTGACACCCTTTACCCTCTGTAACACCCTCAATCTCTGTGACACCCACACTCTATTTGGCAATATAACTATGTGTGATTCCAAAACTCGGTGTGACACCTAAATGTTCTTTGACACCCTCACTGGCTGTCACACCCACAATCTCTGTGACATTCACAGTTTCTGTGATACTCACACTATAACATTCTCACTCTCTGTGACACGTACAATCTCTGTGACCCCACACTCTCTGTAAGGCTCGCACTCTCTGTGACACTCACACTCTCTGTAACACTAACTCTCTTTGTGAAATCCATACTCTGTGACACCCACACTGTGACACCCACCCACACCCACACTGACAGATACACAGAGAATGACATGGAGGTGTGTGAAGAGCTCAATAGGAGATTCCAGGAGGTCTTCACAGAAGAACAAGGAGAAGCCCCTGCACTAAATGAGGCAAACCAAGCAACCTTGGAGGCTTCTAACCTCACTAGTGATGAGGTCAAAAGGAATCTGTTGGAAATGAACAAAGGCTGTTGGGCCTGACAGAATCTTACCGTGGATACTAAATGACGGTGCAGAGGCACTAAGTGTGCCACACTCTCTATGGTGTATAACAGGTCACTGGAAACAGGAGGCCTACCGGAAAGTTGGAAGACAGCTAATGTAGTCCCAATATACAAAAAGGATGACAGGCAAGAGGCACTGAACTATAGGCCAGTTTCCCTAACTTGTATACCATGCAAGGTGATGGAGAAAATCGTGAGGAAAAGGCTCGTAGAGCATCTGGAGGGAGATAGTTTTGTGACCCACCACCAACATGGGCTCAGAGATGCTAAATCGTGCCTCACAGGTTTAATAGAATTCTATGACCAAGCACCAAAAATTAGGCAAGAAAGAGAAGGGTGGGCAGACTGCATTTTCTTGAACTGTCAGAAAGTCTTTAACACAGCACCCCATAAAAAGCTGATACAAAAGTTGGAGCAACAGGCAGGACTAAAAGGTAAGGTGCTCCAGTGGATAAGGAAATATATAAGCAACAGGAAACAGCGAGTAACTGTGAGGGGGAGACATCAGAGTGGCGAGATGTCACCAGCAGAGTGTAATGACCCCCCTGTGATCGTTCTGAATACTATCCCTGTTCAACCCGTTCTCGCACTTTCTTACAGTCAATATTGACATATTAAATATGTGCATATGTGACATACTAAACATACTAGCTTACCTTGAAAAGCTTCATAGAAAACACCGACCTTACCTAACCTTCTTAGTATGTTAAGATAAGCATCTTAATGCTTCGTAATTACAATTATTACTTAACTTATTATAGATATAGGTTAATTAATAATTATAATTACAAAGCAATAAGATGCTTATCTTAACATACTAAGAAGGTTAGGTAAGGTCGGTGTTTTCTATGAAGCTTTTCAAGGTAAACTAGTATGTTAAGTATGTCACATATGCACGTATTTAATAAGTCAATATTGACTATACGAAAGTGCGAGAACGGGTTGCCCTGTTGTAATTCTCCTTCTCTCTTCACTCAATTTCCTGCTTAACACTGTTACAGTCCAGTATGACCCCCTCACTGGACTGCCACGAATATAAGAGGAATATTAAATGAGGAAGATGCATCCAGGACAAGGGTTATTATGTTATAAAAAATAATACTCATAAAAATCATTAAACACTACCACCACCTTCCCAACATAAATGAATGTGTCTAAAATTATTGATCCCCAGGAAGGAAGGGACTCAATAATCAGGGAACTCAAAGGGTAAGTAAATGAATCTTAATGGATTAATACTGTAATCTTACTGAACTGAACGGGAGATTCTAGAGCGACTTTACTATTCATAAGATGGAGAACACGGGGGAACTTCTAGCACAGCAAATGAAAATCACCAGAATGAATAACTCAGTCATTAATCAAAGGGAACAGATAACTAAACACAATTACATTAAAATTATTTTATTATTTGAACCAGTATATTTAAATCAAAATTGAAACATATCCTACTCTAACAAAACAAAACAAAAAACTACGAGGCAATGGACTGTAATACCGACATAAACACAACTCAAGGGCACAGTTACCTTCAATACTGCAGCTTGCCAAAGGATGTTGATTGGCTGCCCTCAGGTCACTTGACCTGTACCTCAGTTGAGGCCCCAAGACACACTAACTCTTCTTAATTAAAACGCTTACCAGTGGGACAGGCTCCACCCCCTAGTTCCTAGGCCCAAATTAACTCCGCCTATCCCAAACCTTTGGCCAATGGATTTAAACATAACTAGGTGATCTAGAAACCGGGCCAATGGCATGGGCAGGCACTACCCTGTGAGGCCCCGCCTCCACAGGCCTACATGTCTTCAACCAATCCGGATCAGGCTTGACCATAAGGGTCAATTCCTCTTGACAGGAAACTCCAAAAACTAGGAAGACACCAACGACTTTCCTGAGGGAATGCCGGCTAGGCACCCAAGTGTAACTTAAGATCACAAGTTTATTGGCCCTGGGGTACTATTTTCAATTCGTCACTGGACAGATGGACGGAGAGCGAGGGGAGCAAGTGGCTTCAAGCTGTTTATAATCACGAGGGGTAGACCGTGACAAAAGACAGGGATGACCCAAAGGGAGGGAAGGCAAGCAAGGGAAGGGAAGGGGAAGAGGAAGGAGAAGAGAAAGGGGGAATGGGTTATGGTGTGCATATACCATTTCAAGAGTCCCACAGGGCTCTGTAGTTGGACCCATCCTGTTTCTAATATAGGTAAATGATCTTCCAGAGGGTATAGATTCGTTCCTCTCAATGTTTGCTGATGATGCAAAAATTATGAGAAAAATCAAGACAGATGAAAATAGTCAGAGACAACAGGATGACCTGGACAAACTGGAGAAATGATCTAGAAAATGGCTACTAAAGTTCAACTCAGGAAAGTGTAAAGTAATGAAATTAGACGAAGGAAGCAGAAGGCTGAAAACAAGGTACCATCTGGGAGGTGAAATCCTCCAAGAGTCAAATAGAGAGAAAGATCTAGGGGTTGATATCACATAAACCTGTCTCTAGAGGCCCACGTCAAAAGAATATCATCAGCGATATATGCTAGGTTGGCCAACATAAGAACTGCCTTCAGAAACTTGTGTAAGGAATTGTTCAGGATCCTGTATACCACTTACGTCAGATCAATCCTGGAATATGCAGCTCTAGCCTGGAGTCCATATCTAGTTAAACACAAAACAGAGTTATAGAAGATTCAGAGATATACCACAAGACTTATCCCAGAACTGTGAGGTATGAGCTACAAGGAAAGGTTGAAGGAGCTGAACCTCACGTCCCTGGAAAACAGAAGAGTAAGGGAAGACATAATAACCACCTACAAAATTCTCAGGGGAATTGACAGGGTGGACAAAGATATACTCTTCAGCACGGGTGGAACACGAACAAGGGGACACAGGTGGAAACTTAGTACCCAGATGAGCCACAGGGACGTTAGAAAGAATTTTTACAGTGTCAGAGTAGTTAACAAGTGGAATGCACTAGGAAGTGAGGTGGTGGAGATTGACTCCATACACAGTTTCAAATGTAGGTATGATAGAGCCCAGTAGGCTCAGGAATCTGTACACCAGTTGATTGACAGTTGAGAGGCGGGACCAAAGAGACAAAGCTCAACCCCCTCAAGCATAAATAGGTGAGTACACTCTGTGACATCCACACTATGTGACACCCACACTCTCTGTGACACCCACATTCTCTGTGACACCCTCGGTGGCTGTCACATCCACACTCTGTGACATTCACGCTTTGGCCTGCACGGTAGAGCAACGGTCTCGCTTCATGCAGGTCGGCGTTCAATCCCGGACCCTCGAAGTGGTTGGACACCATTCCTTCCCCACCCCCTCGTCCCATCCGAAATCCTTATCCTGACCCCTTCCTAGTGCTATATAGTCGTAATGGCTTGGCTCTTTCTCTCCAAAGTGCTAGCTTTCAGGAGTTTCCTTCCCTTCCGATGGAGTGAACACAGTACTCTAGACACATGCCTGGAGTTAAGGCGAGTCCCTAGTTGCAGCCTTAAATCTTCTCCCACAGTGTAACACATTATTAAAACTGTGAAATTCAGCTCTGCGATGGTCAAGAATCAATAAGGGTTGAGTGGAATAAAGAATGACGTCTCAAAAATTAATTTAATAAAATACATGACGTGCACTACTGCAAATGTATGTTAAATGCCTCGTCCAACAGGTCAACTGTTTATGCCGGAGGCGTAACTCTCTCACTAAGATACATTCAAACTCAATGAACCCAAAAGTAAAAATAACTCTGCTGACTCTTAGAGCACCTCAAACTCAAGAAAACTTTAGCAAATACTTAACTTGACACTTAATGAGTCTTGTCACTTCTCACTAAATATACTTAGAGAGTAACGTCAGAAATACTGAAAACTAAA